AGGGGAGAGGGCGGGGCTGGCGGCCTCCCGGTCCCCGCAGGCGGCCTCGAGCGAGCGGAGGGGCGCTGACTGAGCTTAAAGTCTGGGACGGCCACCCCCCTTCCCGCTCCAGCCCCCCAGCCATTGGCTCCGGCGGGAGGCTGACATCAAAGCCGCGTCCCTATATAAGCCGGCCCCGCGGGGAGGCCGCAGAAGGGTTAAACGGGTCTCCGCCAGTGCTGCCCCCGACAAGCACCGCAGCCGCCACCTTCCGCCTCGCGGGGCCTCCGAAGCGGCGCCCGGCAGAGGGCCGCCGCCCCCACGGTGGCCGGGAGCCGGGGGCGCATGGGGCGGCGCTGATCGGGCTGGCGGCGCAGGCCGGGCGCTCCACCATGAACCTCGTGGGCAGCTACGCGCACCACCACCACCACCACCACCCGCACCCCGCGCACCCCATGCTCCACGAGCCCTTCCTCTTCGGGCCGGCCCCGCGCTGTCACCAGGAGCGGCCCTACTTCCAGAGCTGGCTGCTCAGCCCCGCCGACGCGGCCCCGGACTTCGCCGCCGGCGGGCCACCCCCCGCCGCCTACGGCCCCGACTCCCGGCCGGGCCAGAGCCCGGGGCGGCTGGAGGCGCTGGGGGGCCGCCTGGGCCGGCGGAAAGGCTCGGGCCCCAAGAAGGAGCGGAGGCGCACGGAGAGCATCAACAGCGCGTTCGCGGAGCTGCGCGAGTGCATCCCCAACGTGCCGGCCGACACCAAGCTCTCCAAGATCAAGACGCTGCGCCTGGCCACCAGCTACATCGCCTACCTGATGGACGTGCTGGCCAAGGACGCGCCGGCCGGCGACCCCGAGGCGTTCAAGGCCGAACTCAAGAAGGCCGACGGCGGCCGCGAGAGCAAGCGGAGAAGAGAGCCGGTGAGTACCGGGCCGGTGCGCTCCAGAACCGGGCGGGCGCGGCGCGCGGGCGGGGCGCGCGGCGGCGCCGGGAAGGCGGCTGCGGGCGAGTGCTGAGGCGGCGGGGAGTTGCGAGGGCCGCAGCGCGGAAGGTGTGCTCCAGGCGGCAGGTACCTCTCGGAGGTCTTCAGTGAGGTGGAGCCTGTTTGCGAGTTGGGAGGACTCCGGGGTGCCGCATCTTAGAGTTTTCAGAGGCAACCCCCGGACCCTTGGAAAGCCCCCACTGGGAGCCCCGGGCTCCAGAGCGACCGTGTCCAGGGTCCAGGCTCTCTCAGAAGCCACGGCCAGAGTGCCCGGGTGTGAATGCAGCACCAGCACCCAGCACTGGCCCCTGGGGGAGGCCAGTCCATTTCCACCCTGGAGCAGATAGGGAAACCCAGGCACCCACCCGAGAATTTGGGGGCTGGGGGGGGCAGGGTGGAAACTGCCTCTTCCACTTCCAGGTCGCAGCTGCCCCTCCAGCTGCGTGCGAACCCCCACCTGGCTCCCTTTCTAGGTCAGGCCCTACAGGCCTTTCGCCCTCCTCTCCAGGGAGGGGACCCTTTCACGCTGGCCAGCTTGTTTTTCTGGCGCGCTCGGTCCTGCGCTCGTGGGAGCCACGCATGGGCCGAGGGGGTCTGTCTGTTCCGCGGGGGGGCCATGGCAAACTAGGGAGAGGTCCGCTGCGGGGTGGGGGGGGGCACCAGCCCTGTGTACGTAGGCCCTGGCGACACGGGGGCAGCAACCGGCCTCCCAGGCCCCTCATCGCCACCAGCCCCAAGCAGTACTAGCTCCACTGGAGAAGGCAGTGGGGCTCCCCATTCTGCGCCCCGGGAGCTCCCGGCCCCCTCCAGGGGACATGGCGCTCAGCTGGGTGGGAGAGCCAGTGGGGCGTGGGGGTCAGGTCCAGAAGAAACCCCCCTTCCCAGCCCTGCGGCCTCCTTGGGGACACGGAGCTGCAAAGCCACACCCAGGTGGGGAGGCCTCGGGCAGAGCCTGACACCCCCAGCCCGCCCCCCCCCCACCGGCAGCTCAGCGGACTGTAGATGTGTGAGTCGTTGCTTGTTCTCAAGGAGAGGCCTCCGACTCCCCAGGCCGCTGGCGGGGCCGGGCCTCACGTCTGACTCTCGCTTCTCTTCCTGTGCGTGTCGCCGGCAGCCGCAGCATGAAGGCTTCCCTCCTGCCCTGGGCCCCGGCGAGAAGAGGATTAAGGGGCGCACCGGCTGGCCGCAGCAAGTCTGGGCGCTGGAGTTAAACCAGTGAGCCCGCGGCCCGCGGGACCGCCGGCTGGCGCGACGGGAGAGGCCGGCCGCGGCGAGGGCAGCTGCCGCCCAGGCACCCTTGGGCCACACGTGCAATGTCCTTTGAGAGTTTTAAGAACATTATGAGAAAGAGAAATATATATATACACCCACGGCTCCCCGCCCGAGGCCGGCGGGCAGGGGCGGGTCCCAGCCGCCTCGGGCACCTTCTCACCCTTGTGGGGCGAAGGCCACTGGCCGGCGCCCGCTACTACCTACCTGGCCGTCTCCGCCCGCGCCCCTCCGCCCTGCGGCCCCTGCGTGTCCAGGGCGGCCTCGCCCTCGGCCGGGCCGGCTGTTCGATTTGATTTGATTGTTTGTTGCTGCACTTCCGACTTAGTTTCCAGGGAAACTCTCCTGCTTCCTTCCTTTGTAACTAAAACTTCCTTCTGTCGGAAGTTGCTCCGTATTTAAACTACCTAGTGAGCAAGCCCCGCGGCTGCCCCACCCTGCTCTACCTCAGCGCCTGGCCCCTCCCGCCCCTCCCAGGCCCCGCATTATCTTGCTCTTGACTAATTAAAAACGTTTTCTGGAACCCGGGGCGCCCGTGTCCGTCTGTCTCGCGGCCCTCCCGCGTCCTGAGCGAAGCCTCCTGCTCCTGCTTCTTTTGATCAGCGCCAAAGCAGGCCGGCGCGCAGGTAAGGGGGCCCCAGGGGCTTAACTGGAACCTGGCACATTCTCCGCGAAGGCAGAGGAGGGGGCAGTGGGGGCCCCCGCAGGGAGGGAAACTGGAAAGCTTACGCTGGGGGGTGTCTCGGCTTCGGTGGCCTGCAGGCTGGTCTGAGGGACGCTCCCTAGGGGTCTGCCTGCGTGCCCTGGGGTTCCAGGGCAGGCCCCGGCCCAGGCCGGCGTCCAGAGGGTGGCAGAGCGGGGTGCAGGGGGCAAGTGTGGAATTCAGGACACACGGGTGG